TACATTAAAAGTTTAGATGTTATTGTTTAAATTCCTCTAACGTAAAGTGAGTCCATTACGTTATAATAAATTATAAATGTTCCTACAGAAGTATAGGGACTTGCTCAATGCACTGTACACTTTTAGTTTTGTCAGACATTCTCACAGTCGATAGATTTTTCAGTCAGATTATGTAACACATTTCTCCAACATCATTCAATTGTATTTCTTATAACCAGATTTTCATAGTAATATGACTTACAGTATGTATTTAATAATCTTCAATAATAAATATTTTTTATTTTTGTAAGATTTTAGTTCTTCGTAACTTTTTGCCTAGCAAGTGGAAACTTTAATTTTTTTTTTTTTTTTTTTTTTTAATTTTAACTTGAAAGCATTCTAATTCCTCTTAGTGGTGGGTTGACATATACTTCATCTTAACTCTTGATAAAATTTCAGAATTTTGTCTTATTATGAAACTATGATGCTCATTTCATTTTTACTGTTCAGTTCAAGGAAATAAATATTACACATACAATAACCTTTACTTCAGCCATATAATTTACAATGGCAGTGGAAATTACATAATAGGCAGTTAAAATTTAATACAGAAAAAATGATAAAATAATGATTACATGATTTTAACGGCATTCTTTTATACAATATCTTTGATTAAAGACTAATATTTAAAAGCATTTGAAACATTAACTAAAAAATGATTGTTTAATAAACATAATGCCAATAATTTTAAAGATGTGATTAAAATTTAAAAAAATTAAATGAATTTTTCTAAAAAATAAAAAAAAATATGTCACTTAATTTATATCTCATTTATTGTTCTTCAGTGAACCATTGCATGATGTAACAGCTACATGTGCAGTTATTGCACTAGAGTGGCGGAATTCAATGGCTATAGTGAAAGGCAGCATACCAGTAAGGGAATTATGTCTACTGAGGATTGAAATTCTTGGATATTGCACTATAGTAGAGACATAAAAAGCACTTTCATGACAAGCAATCTACTGCTACTAAAAGTATAATTAAATACTTGACCAAAATGTTGTGAATTATATAGGCTGTGAATTTAAAAATCTAATCCATTCTAGCTTTACTTTTTACAACCTTGAATCATTTTCAATTTTAGCATCAGGGAAAAAAAAATATTTAATATAAAACAAATTAATCTTATGGCATAACAAATTGTAATAACAGATAAATACAAGAAACTGCTATTTTAATTAATACTGATTTTTATGAATTGAAGCTTTTTATGAATGAATCAATTTAAAAACAAAAATGTAATTTAAATTTTTTCACAACTTGGTTTAAATTAAAAAAATCTGAATGTTTGAGGGAAAATTATTTTATATCTTGGACAGTAAAACATATTAAAAAACCAATAATGTATCCTTTTAAATCACTATTATTTTATTTATTCAGAACTCAAGCAGATGGCTAATTAAATTCTTGATAACATATTCTATTTTGTAAAACACAGCATAGTCAGATTTTTAAATACAGTTTTGAGATAAATTTTGTATTGAGACATTAATTCCAAGATTATTTTAATTACCTTATGTTGAAAATAATGTATTATGCATACTGCATATTTATTTGTGAAACTTAAAACAGGAACAGCTTTAGTATTGGTCCTTTTGGCGATTTTTTTATTTGGCGACAAACTTTGGTCGCCGAGGTAGACCCGGTTTTGAAGATCGGAAAAAAATGGCGGATTGTCAACAAAACCCGATCTAGAATAAATAACAATCCTAAAAAATAAGCTCTTAATCAGAATAAACAGTCTTTCTCTAATTTTCAATATTTCAAGTACTGCTATGATAAATTCTTGAAACACTACTGTAAATGAATTTATGACAATTATTATGTTATGAGTAATGAAATTTACAAAATGTTAATATTTTTAATTACAAAATATAATGTATTAAACATTAATATTTTAAGTAGTTAGTTCATATTTATATTTATTATATTAGTACTTAGCTAATATTTTAAATTTACAAAAGGTTAATTTTTATGTTTATGAATAATGAAATTTACAAAAGGTTAAAAAATGCATTTCAAACTAGTATATGTTACTTTAGTTTCTTAGATGCTGTTATTAAAAGAAAATAAAAAAATATTTCAAACTGAAGGAAATCAAATTCAATTATAATGGGCAAGTTTTGTACTAGTGTTAGAAATATTTTTTATGATTAAATTTTGTAAATGGTAAAAATATTAAGAAGTGTGTATTTTTTAATCCCTCAATTTATTATAAGTAATTTATGATTATAATTTAAAAGCTAAAATTAAATTATCATAATGAGTAAATTTTGTACCAATGGTAATAATACAACAATCATCGTAAATGATAATTTCTGTGAAAAATTCGAACAGTCATTGGAATCCACTAGTGGTGGAGTGATAGCCACTGAACAGTGGTAGTTCAGGCTGGCTATATGGGAGTTTTAGTAGTTTTCCGTAGATGTAATGTGAATCTGAGCCAGTTTCTCTTAAAAAGTACTTTATGAAGGCATCCTTCTTCTGCTAGCCAGCATATGAATTTATTTTCTATTCATAATTCTCTCTTATTTTCTTATTTCTTAATTCTAAATCTTACTTCTGAAGAGAAGAAGTGTTGTATCTATAGGTCGAAAAATATGGTCAATATGTTTGCAAAATCCTGTCACTTTTGGAAAGCATTTAAATAAACTAAATACAAAAATGCATTACACTATTTCATGTACTGAATAATTAATCAGGGAACAAAGTATATTGTAACGTTCCTTTACTTTGTAACCAGAGTTATTTTATGCTTGGGATCTTTACTGTCAATTTCTTCCATCCGTTTTCTCACCAGAATCCAAATGAAGTTTTTATTTTGTAAAACAAACCGTGTTTTGCCTTTTGAGGCCACATTAATAGGTTGCTAGATAAGAAAAGATTTGTAGTCTTCAGCCTTGCATTATAATTGCTGATAGTTGAATTCCATCCCAGTTAAGTTTTTAACCAACTTTGCATTAAATTGATTTGTGCAGCCTTTGGGCTACAAATTTATTTGAATTTAAATTTTACATTTTAACTTAATTGTTATCATGCCACAAGTGGTTGACTGAGTCGTAAGCACAAAGTGTGCCTTCTGTTCTGTACATCTAAACTTTATAATAGAATAAAAGTACATCTTAACTTAATAAGAATATATCTAAACTTTATGATAATAACATTTAAAGACATTGAAATCAGTATCTAAGTGCTTCCCATGTAGTCAAATTTTTATATATAAATTGTACTCTTACTTTTATTATAGAGTTTTTATTACAAAAAATTCAGATTTCTGTTAGATAAAATGTTTAAGTAATGTAGAAAATTTGCATAAAATTTAAAATAAAAAGTCAACTGTTATGTCAACATACTATTAATAAAAGTAATAATACTCAGTGAAGGTTATTCACATACAGCTGTTAGGTTGTAAGATTTACAAAATTTGAGAACTCTAAATTATAAGCAATATATTCCATAATCTAAGATTATATTTTTTATAGTCAGACAAATTATGAAAATGTTATAAAAGCAATAATGAAACCTGATTTTGGTCTTGATTTGAACCTATGAATTCATGCAATTACACATCCCTTTAGTTCTAATATGAGGTAAATAAGTATTTTTAGACCATGGTAATTTTGATCTCCTTAGCAAAGGAAACACCAAGAGTGTTTGCTCCTCATGCTACACACCTCATGCTACTGAAAATGTGTTTTTTTTTTTTTTTTCTTGGGGGGGGTGGAGTTTATTAGAATATGCAGAGTTGACATATGAAAAAATGTCAAGACTCACGTGATGTAATATTAAAAGCACCAGTTTTAACTACCAAAAATTTGGCTTTTTTTAAAAAAAATTAAATGTTGTGCTTTCCTAACACAAAAGTAACTTTAAGAAAAACACACAATTTATCTTTCCTGCCATCAAAGCTCTGATACCTATCAAATTCGTTAAAGTTACGTGGACAGAAATGGCAGCATGTTTGAAGCTCAGTATTTAGGGTTACCAAGGTTACCATAATTTTTCATTTATCGCTCCAAAATGTCGCCAAACAAATTTCTTGCCAAAAAGGACTAATACTAAAGCTGTGCCTTAAAACATATTTTTCAGTACGAAGAACCTTGCAGCTAAATACTTTTCCCAAGATATTAATTGCAACAGAATGATCCAACAGAAAAATCAGTAGTTAAACATAATTACTTCATAGCTGAGGAATCATGCTTAGAACTAAATGAATTATATTTGTAAAAAAATAAATACAGCTTTGCTTCAAAATTCCTTATTTATAAGATGGGAAAACCTTTACATCAAAGCAAGGAAAACCTTTACATCAAGCAAGCATACATTGCATCACTCCAATTTATATATAACTATGAGAACTTACACCCTGATGAAAAAGCATTCATTTAATATCAAAATTATTTGAGAATTATCAGAAAAATTATATAAGAAAAAAATACATAACTGCAACATCATCAGTAGAAGAATTTAATAGAGAAAACTAATTTCATAAAAAAATTCACATTTATAACACCCTGAAAAAAATTACTTCCTTGCGATTCTCTATGTTTCAGTACAGAACGACTATATATTCTTTCTTCAGATTTAGTAGTTCAGTAGATGTAGTTGTTCAGATGTAGAAGTTAAAACAATAGTAATCTTAAATTACATTAAAAAATAACTATTCTTATACCCAAGCACTGACTATGAAGCGACTTTTATTTTCTTACCCATGCTTTGCTTTAGAAAACAATATTTTTGCACATAATATACTGTTATATCTTGATGAAATAATCATTATAATGGGGAGGGAAAAAAAACCCGGTTGCTGTATTATCAAAATACAGTAATTTAAAATAAATTTCTTGAAGGGCATTATGAAAATGATCAAAATCATTTATAGATCTAAATTGTTACTTTTTTTTAATACTGCAAAGGCAATAAAATAAAAAATAAATATTTAAAATTTTGATAGCACTTACCTCTGCCCTATGTCCCCTCAAATTATAGTTGGATCTCAATGGAAGGTCAGCAATTTTCCTGTTATGGCAAGATGTAAATGTAACTCCTACAATGCTTCTGGCATTTCCAGTAGCTAACCAACCGTCTTGATAATAATGCACACGATTCAATTTCCATCCATCTTCGTCCGGCAAATCGTCTGGTACTTTTCCCATCCATGTCAAACTTAAAATCGCGCAATCCGTCCTCGTTGAGTTAGTTCTTTCAAAATGCAAATGCATTTTTTATTATATAGAGTTCATTATATTTTGATACCTGCTTAACTTCATTTGCAGCTTCGGATTATTTCTCGATTAGCCGCAGAGAATATTATTCAATAAAATTTTCGTTCTAGGGAATTCTAACTGCACTAATTTTTACACAAACAAAAATAGAAATTATGATATTTACGTAAATTTATATTCTTTTAAAAACTTTATAAAATCTTGAAGTAATTTTACAAACTTATTCAGAACAAACAGCAAATTTAAATGGGCATTTTGCAGGAACGCCACAAATAATACCAAATGAAGGATATTGGGAACATGGGTCACAGACTATATTTAATCTTCGCTGAAGATTTACACCATCCTATCGAAAAGCAAACACCGAGTCTTCTATATTGATCGATTTTAATCATCCGAACAAGACACAAGTCCATATAACCTTCCAGAAAACATTGCGGTCATAGTAAACGCATGATTTCGGTTAAAAATTCTTTCTGTCATCATATTCAAAAGCCAATAGTTCAATCAGATCTCTCTCTTTCACAATATACACATGTATGTTTAGGAATTGGTTTGCTATTACAGATCTTAACCGGTAGCTTCTCAATCCACCGCGGTCCACCTGCCATGATGGAGCACGGCGCGGGGCGCATCACAGGGTTACCACAAGTTTCCAAACGCGCCAAGACTGTGCATTCCGAGATTCTCTCGCTTAAGTACTTGGGCCAGGGCTTCTGCAAACAATCCAGGTAATTACGGAATTTTAACTCATTTCTCAAATGAAGTTCTAACCCCATAGTTCGCTATCGCTAGTTCGAAAAATTTCAAAAAAAAAAAAAAAAAAAAAAAAACCACTGAACATTACTGTTAGAAAAACCATAACTAGATTATAAGGAGAAAGAAAGATGCTTATCTCTAACTAAAAATTATTTACAATTGCGTATTTCTCACATAATTATCACAAAAATGTATTGCAATTTACGTCAGAAAAAGTACTTCGCGTTGTTAAATTTTTATTATATTTCGAAACTTAGATGAAATAACTAAAGAAGAATTTTCTTGCTTTAAATTTTAAATATGTTTAACATATGCAAAGAGCCGAAAATGTTGCAGTTCCTATTAGAATATCCTTCACGAAAACGTCCCTTCGCAGAGACGTGAGTCCGAGTAGATTTTGTTGTATTCAATTGATCTAACACAATCTAACCAATGGTTTTTAGCTTCTCAGTATGCTTTGGCCATATGATACTGACGAAATTAGGATTTTAGGGATTTCTGTTTCTTTCTCTGATTCCAGATGCTCAATTATTTTGATGAAATGAAAAGCGAATTCAAAGCTCCATTTGAAATATAAAAACATCTACAAAGTCTTTGCGTTCATAACTCTATCAAAAAATGTGCTTTTTAAAATTTTTTAACCTTTTTAATATTAAATTAAGAGAAAAAAATAGCATAGACCTATCCATTTCACTCCTACGATAGATCTGTCGATATGGTATTAATAGATGAATTTCGTTCTTTCTCATCTAACAGGGGCGTAGCTAGAGGGGGGCAAGGGGGGCATTTGTCCCCGGGCGCAGAATCCAAGGGGCGCCAAACTGATGTTACGACATTTTAGAATTGAATGTTTTCCATCCTTGGCAAGCAGTAGGGGGGCGCGAAATCTTCAGTTGTCCCTGGCGCTGAAAACCCTAGCTACGACTTTGTCATCTAAACTATAGTCTCGCACATTTCATCTTGCCAAATCGTCATTTTTGCTACCACTTCGAAGCCTTTCATTGTTTTGCTTATTTTTGGAAAATGGATTGGATTGGATTATATAATTTAAACAAGGCACACGAGGGCTATCTCCGTAAGTTCCATCCCAGATTTGACAGAAGGGGTTCCAGGTGGTGGAATATGTGGGGTTTAGAATCTCTTTTCCCCTATCACCTACCTCTTAACAGGCTTTTCGACTCAAAAGATAGTTAGTGTCCTCATGCTGCAGAGTCATAAACAGTCATAAACTTCCATGCCTTACCATTTGAACACGAACTCAACGATATAGAAATTTTTAGGCTGTGCTAACTATCGTTTCGTCCAGAGAAGAGATTTTGGAAAGTAAAACTAGACTGAATATATATTTTCTCATTTGCTTGGGTTTATATTTATCATAGCATTCTTGTTTTTAGTTTTTTTCTTTCTTTTTTTTTTTTTTTTTTTTTTAGTTCTATATGTTAATATGATTTGGTTAGAGTGTTTTCAAGGCTTGAGGATGTAGAATTTTTTAGTCCAAAGGGGCTTTGTCCCTGAAGGACTATTGTTTTCGTTTTGCGATTTTGCGTCGGACTCATAAACGTCGGTTCACTTTTCAAACTGTTGCCACAAAAATGTTAGAGTCCTGCATTATATTTTGAAAATTAAAATAATGAAAAATCTGCATAAATGATTGTCTATTTCTCGCATTGTGATAAACAATGGTACATAGAGCCATCGAATTTTGAATGACGAAATCCTACTGCGAATATGGGCATCTGAAATCCCAAATTTGGAATTTGTTTTATTACAGATTTTATATTTTGTAAAACTTTAACGAATTTTTGATTTACAAACTCAATGCTTTAAAAGCGAGAAATGACAACGTTATATATAAAAAAAAAATACTTTATCTCCAGCTCGCGAGACTGTTATATCGGAAATCTAAAGATATGCTTAATTTAACATTATTTTGCGATATTGCTCTTGAACTGAATTTTATGGTTAAAGTGCAAAGAACATGATATTTAATAAATAAAGGTAACACTCAAAACGTTAAAAAAACGCCCCTTTGGACGTAATTTAAAATCTGAAACATTTCAGATTTTTTTTTTTTTTTTTTCCATTTAAACTATTAGCAGTTGCTTCTTCGCGTCTTTCTTTTCTTTTTAATTTTATAAATTGCTATTTCAGATTATGAAAAGTTTCTTCTGAGTTCTCAGCTTTGCTGAAGTGAGAAGGGCTTCTGCATCTAAGCATATGCTTCATTTACAGCTTTATGGTTAAAAATGCTGCAGTTGTCGATTAACGTAAAAGTGCGTTGTGGCTGTATACGTTAACGGCAAGTTATCGCTTGATATTTAAAACAATTACATCTCGAACTAATTAAGAAGTTTAGAAAAAAAAAAAAAAAAAAAAATCTGAAAGATTTCAGATTTCAAATTTCGTCTAAATGGGCGTTTTTTTTAACATTTTGCCTGTTACGTTTATTTATTAAATATCACGTTCTTCTCACCTAAACCATAAAATTCAGCTCAAGAGCAATATCGGAAAATAGTTTTAAATTGAGTATATCTTTAGAATTTCCGATACAGAGTCTCGCGTTTTAGAGATAAAAATGTTTTTTTTCTGTACAACGTTGCCATTGCTCGCTTTGAAATCCTTGAGTTTGTTAATCAAAAATTTGTTAAAGTTTTACATAATATGAAATCAATAATAAAACAAATTCCAAATTTCAAATTTGGGCTTCCAGATGTCCATATTCGCAGTAAGATTACGTCATTCAAAATTCGATGGCTCTATGTACCGTTGTTTTATCACATTTACGCAGATTTTTCATTATTTAATTTCTTCAAATAAATTGCAGGACTCTAACATTTGGTGGCAACAGTTTGAAAAGTGAAACGGACATTTACAGTGAATCAACGCAAAATCGCTAAACAAAAACAATAGTCCTTCAGAGACAAAGCCCCTTTGGACTAAAAATTAAATTTTATTTATCCATATTGTTTTATTTGTGTTTTACAAGCTACAAGAATTTGTTGTTTACAAGTTAAATATAAGTACCAAAACAAATTACGCAGCTCCAATTGCAAGTTATATTGCACTGTAGTAGTTAGATTAAAGGTTCTACGCTGCTGCAATGAAGAATTTCCCTTAAAATCAGCAAAGAAACTCTTCAAAATTTATTAATAGCATTTTTCAAGAATTGAAAAAAGAAAATTGTTCGAATTACATTTTCTCTGCGCGTTGATAATAAGGTTAACTGGTTTTGAGTTAAAACAGAAAACAGATGTTAAATTAGAAATTCATAATGCAATAAACTGGATAAATAATCAACTGAATGACATTTTGTAAACAACACATTTCTGATTCATTCGAAAATCACACTGATTACAGAAAAACTGAGTGGCTTTTATCATTAAAAAGATAAATGTTGGTCATGATGCTGAGAAACCTATTAACACTTTCAACCTTTCAGCCGCATTTCTTCGAAAATTTTGTAGCATACTTCTTTCTTAAATTTTCTGATTAAGAATAGAGTGTTATCATTCATACCAAAATGTAAGTAAAACTAATGTGGTAATGCCCAAAATTTTCTAATTTCTTATAAATAACGATCAGACAATTTTACAGAATATTTATTTAATTGTTACCTTTCTTATGCCTACTTACAATCTTTCGCGAAACAGAAGCCGTTTGCTTAATTCCTTTCTTTTTACTATAAGGTAAGTCAAAAGTCCTTAAACAAACTTTACGAATAGGTCAAGCATACGGAAAAAAAAAAAAAAAAAAAAAAAAGAACGTGTAGTCGTTAAATATAACGGCGAACGTTAGTCGGAGTTGCCAGTTGGAATTTGCGATGCAGGAAGATTCGATGCGCGAACGCTGCCGAGGCGACAGAGATGCGTTTTATCTATGGTGAACCTAAAGGAAACGGTTGTGCAGCACAGAATTTGTGTAGACCACGGGTGGCCAGACTTCGCTGTGATAGGAGCTGCACAGTAGGTTTCAGGAAAGTTCGAGAGCCGCAGCTGAATTTTCCAAGAGCCGCAAATCCATATTTATATTAAAAATTAAAGAACTTTTGAAGTAAATTAACGAGAATTTTGCTTATGTAATTAATATGGCTGCATAAAAGGGCGATACTTTATTTCCCCTACTTTGAATTCACAAACAACAAATTATAAATTTACGACTACTATACGATGTATTTGAGCATTCTTCTTTCAGGTAAAAAACAAGCATTTGCTTTTGGTTTCCTTTATTTTTCTTCTTTCATAATTGTTGTTTGGTTTTGTTAGAAGTGAACTGATGTTGAAAGAATACGTATTGGTTTTTAGAAATGCATATTGTAAAAGGTTTTTCATTTGAAAGAATGAATCTCTAATTTTAAAAAACAAATTGACCGGTTTTTCTTAAATTTCAGCTCCGACACATTATTTTAAAAAAACACAAAATAAATGATACTGGACAGCGCACGTAGCAGAGAAACATTTATTCAAGAAATAAAAATTATTTTAGAATAAGCAGTTAACTTTCTTAGGCTTTTGTATGAAAATTAGTAACTTCATTTTCTTACACAATTAACACGAAGGATAAAATACTCCGATCAAATCTGACTTTAAATAATTAATTTAATTCATTAGATGCGAAAAGTTACAGTTTTTTTTAAGGCAATCTTCAGAAAGATTTCAATTTTAAATCTTGATCGAAACTTAAATATTCATTAAATCCAAACCTAAATATTCATTAAACATTTTAAGTCAAAACTTTGGAATTATTAGTTTTATTGTTGCTCAGTATAGAAGAATTCACTAAAAAAGAAGATGACTGCAATTTCAATGGTACGGGAACAATCATTTTTATTCATAATGGCCCTGAGTGCTGCATTGT